AATTGTTCTTTTGTCATATCTTGCCCTGTCCGACGTCTCCCTTCACCCACTTTTCTGTTGTCCGTCCCCCAGGGAGGAGGTCACATGTAGATCCTAGTCATCGGTTCCTAGGGTACGCTTGCCGCAGAGAAAGGGCATTTTGCTTGTGCCAAAAGATTTCCTTAGAGGAAATGAATGGGAGTGCTCAGACCCACTGAGACCCGGGGCGGCCTGGGTGCCAGGAGGCTGGAGCCCCGGTGTGGACCGCTCTGCCCGAGGAAGAGGCTAAGAAGCAGCAGGCAGCTGCATGGGCAACGGGTTTGAGACTGAAGGCCCTGTCCTGCCCTTCGCAACCACTGGAACATTATTTGTCAGCCATGAATATGTTTTCACAAGCAAATGAAATCACCAGTACCTGAGTAGTGTCTTTTAAAAGTTTTATAAATGAAACGATACTAGTCTTGTTTTCATTTTCAGTTGTACTTCTGAGCCACACGTACATACCAAAAGAGCCGGCCTTGGCTCGAGAGCCGCAGTTTGCCGACTGTTGCGCTCGGGGACGCTCTGGAACCCGAGGGTGGGAGGCGTTCCCACTGACACGCTTGGTGGTGACTTCGTGCTGGGAGGCCAAGTGCGGACACGCACACGTGCTCTTTGTAAGCAGTCACTGGACCGAACAAGGCTTTTATGAGGGTGCAAAGGGTGGAGGGCGGCCCCAGACACTGAGTTTGTCTAAGTAGAAGTTTTATTTCTTTTGTTAAGCAGCAGGGCAGGGTCTTCCCGGCATAAATGCATTTGATTCTCTGTTAGCACAAACTCTGTGGTGTGTGTGTGTGGTCACTGCACGCTTCTCGGGGCACACGAGCTTTCTCTTAATAGTCTAAGAACCTACCTACCCCCTCCTCATTGCCACCCACGGAGATCCTGACTCACAGAGACTCGATAGAGGGATTCCAAGGCTGTAAATCTTCACAGGTTGAGAAACTAAGAAACACTAAACTCACTGCCATTGAGTTGATTCTGACTCACAGGGTGGCGGGGAGAACTGCCCCATGGTTGTTGAGAATATAACTATTTACAGGAGTAGAAAGCCTCATCCTTCTCCTGCAGAGCATCTGCTGGTTTCGAACTGCTGACCTTGCAGTTAGCAGCCCAACACATAACTCACTAAGCCTCCAGGGCACCTCCACAGGTTGAGAGGAAAGTAATAAATGGTCCGTTTACTTTATACCCTGGGAATTGGTATCTCAGTGTCTTACTTCTCTGCTACTTTTATAGCCAGACAGCCTGTAAGATGAGCAAGCCCCAACGCTCACATTTCCCACCCTCTGCGTGGACAGCACTCAGCCTCCTGCAGCACCGACCTGAGACGGGGGACCGGTGCTAACGGACAGAGAGCAAGCCGTGATGCCGAGTCTCCTGCATGTGGGCTGGTCTAGAGGGAAAGATGTTCACAGACACGTTCACTAAGTGCTGGTGACCATCACCTCAACGTGCCTGCTTGACTTGCAGGGTTTTGTGTGTCCTTCTCCCTCAGAGCTGCTGGTGGTTTTGAACTGCCAACCATGCCGATCGCAGCCCAACCTGCAACTACCACACCACCAAGGCCTGGGGTACTTCATGGGGCAGTTCTACTCTGCCTTTAAGGTCGCTATGAGTCAGAATCAACTACATATTTCACAGCAGATTCACACACACACACATGCACATCATGGTAAAATAAACGCATAGAAACACGTAGGACCCAAACTTTACCATTTTCACATGTGTAACTCAGTGACTTGAATTCCTTCATGCTAGGCACCCATCACCACTGGCTGCTCCCACCTGTTCTGCCACCCATGTCAGAAACTCAGGGCCCTGTGAGCAAGGGCTCCCTCTCGCCCCTTTCCTCCTGCCCAGCCCTGGAAGCAACAAATAGACTTGGGTCTCTACTTCCGTGCCTATTCCAGATTCTTTCAGAGGAGTGCAACCCTATAGTATTTTTTCTTCTGTGACTGACTTATTTCACTCAGTGTCATATGTTCAGGGTTCATCTGTGTTGTAGCATAGATTATTTAAAAAAATAATACCAACCCACACAGAAATGGCAGGAAAAGCTAGGGTTTGTTGCAGCACCCTCTACATGTTGGTGAGAATTCCGTGTCTTCTTGTTCGGCATCTAGTTCTTGAATAACTAAGACGGAGGAATCCAAATGTCTCTTTGTCCCTGCTGTGCCTTTTCATTATAGTTATTACTGGAAATCAGCTCAAGGCTTAGGCTTGGCTGGTACTCTTCCATCGGGCAGGCCCGGGGCTCCAGGTGGGGGTGCACGGGTGGGAGAGGCTCTTCGACAGTCACGCTGGCCCTCGGGTGCTGAGCCTTGCTGCTGAGGGATGGGTCCGGCGGAGGTGAGCGTGGACTTCCGTGAGGGGCAGTCTGGTGCTCCTGCCTTGCCGACTTCTACCTGGACCTGCTTGTTAGTGTGTTGCAGGTGCCATGTACATCACAGGCTTCGCGGAATCCATCTCGGATCTGCTGGGCCTCAGGAATATCTGGGCCGTGCGAGGGATTTCAGTGGCGGTCCTCCTGGCCTTGCTGGGCATTAACCTCGCTGGTGTCAAGTGGATAATCCGCCTCCAGCTGCTACTGCTGTTCTTGCTGGCTGTGTCCACGCTGGACTTCGTGGTGGGCTCTTTCACACACCTGGACCCAGGTAAGCCCGTTGGAGCCTTGGTGTATGGCCTGAGAGTGCTCTGTGTTGCTTGATCGATGCTTACGGGTGTGAGGTTGCAAGTCTGCCTCCCCGCAGGCTCCTCCTACCTTGAGGTGGTCCCTGCCTGGACCAGGGGAGTGGGCGCGTCTTGGTGGAGCTTCATGGGCCCAAAAGCTCCTCTTCAAATAATCATTTTCACTTAGCACATCTCCCATGTTTGCTTTTACTTTCTGTAAAAAAATCAAACAGACAAGTTTTGGTAAAATTAAGAAGAAAATCAAGCTGGATGAACACAGATCAAATTCATAACTGTGGCTGGAGAAAGGCAACAAAAAGTCTTACTTGAAGTACAGAAGCAAACAGGTTTTAGGGTTCATGTCATCCTTGTTTTGGGAGGTGGCTAAGGATTTGAGACAAATATAGCAAATGTAACCTAGGCCATTCCTGGAGAATAATGATAAGTATATACTTGATTATTCTCTACAGTTTTCTGAACTCGTTTTTTTTTTTTCCACAATAAAAATATGAATCCGTTAGCTAAGCTTCAAAAAGAAAATAAGCAACCAGGTATAATATTGCACAGGTGGAAGGGTCCCGTCGTCACCAAGTGATTGCTCTTTAATCTGACCCCGGGCTCCCCCCACTTTGGGAGATGTGGGGTGATTCTAGTGGTAAGTCCTGCGTTAGGTGAGAAGGCATGGCCCACCGTGCCCAGAACTGTGTAGTGTGATTACGGTGGATTGGGCACCAACACTCTGCTTCTCTTTAGCGTAGAGCTGTCCCTGGGATGAAGGGGAAAAAGATGACTGCCTGGTATCTCATGCTTCAGATACTCTGTCTCTCCAGGGCAGTGGTGGGCAAATTGGAATGATCACCGGGTGTTAGAGTAAACAGCCTCTAACAAGCGAGGGGTCTGTAGGCGCAATTGTACAGCTATACTATATAAAGATTATAGTAAAGTCATAGAAGATAGGAGAGAAGGTAAAATAAAGGAGTCAGACACATTTCATGGAGCATGCTCACCTCAGCCCCCCTTGGTGGTCCACGAGGAGGTGGGAGAAGAGAGAGCGAGTATATTTCTAATCAAGGCTTATATACACTTAGGGGGGCGTGCAAACCCTCCTGATTACACCATCACAGGAAGGGGTTATACTATAGGCAATACATTCAATGGGAGGGGGACGATCTAGGGGTGTAAATGAAATAGGAAGGGGAGGGACTAGGGGTACACGTGCAACAAGATGGGTGGACTCTAAAGTCAAGATGGCAGCCTAATCTTGATCCTTCTTGAGTTGGCTTGACTTTGTCTCTGGGCTCTCCTTCAGGGAAACAACCTTATCAGCAGGATGTGGGCCCCACCTACTGTGGGACAGACAATAGTGTCTCTTTGCTCTAGATGCCCGATGCCCTCAGGGAGGTAACCTCTAAGCAGCTGACCACACTGCGCTAGCAAGCTGGTCCTAGGCTGGGTATACAATATGGGAAACAACCTGGGGGAAAACCTCTTTGTATCCCACAACTGGGATATTGACCCACAATGGAGATGAAGCCACCCGTAGTGTGAAAAAGTAAAATGTAGCACAGATAAAAACCTCTAACGGTTTTGTGGGGGTGGTGGTGATGATGATGGTGGTGGTGGTGGTGATGATGGTGATAACAATTACATTGGACTGAGCACTTCACACGGAGCCTCCTCATGTAGTTGTTGTGTAACTCCGTGAGGCAGGAACAACTCCATCCCATTTTGGAGATAAAGAAACGAGTGATTCGCAAGAGAGCATGTGATTGGTGGAAATGTCTGCCAGGACTGGGATTTGAAACCAGGTCCTTGGGACTGCAAAGCTGAGCCCTGCTCTGAAGTGGGAAGCTGTCCTATCTGGCAACATCTTCTACTTTCTGCAGCTTCCTTGACATGGTAGCGGCGGTGGGTGGGTGCCATCGAGCTGATTTTGACTCACAGGGACCCCACATGTTTACAGAGCTTTTCTTGGCTGTAAAGGTCACCAGTTCAAAACCCCCAGCCACTCTTAGGGGGCGGACAGGGCTTTCTACTCCCATAAGAAGTTACGGTCTCGGACACTCACAGGAGCAGTTGTACCCTGCCCTGGAGGGTCACCGTGAATCGGCATCGACTTCATGGCAGTGAGTTTTTGGTTCTTTAACCTTTACAGCCAAGAAAAGCCACCGAGTATTCTCAGCTGTCATCTTTACGGCAGCCGACCACCAGTTCTTTCTCCCAAAGAGCCCCTGGGTGGGCTCAAACCACCGACCTTTTGGTTAGCAGGGCTCTTTTTCTGGACACCACATGCAGTCTTTTTGTTACTTCCGCCCCTAAGGCTGCCCCTGACATGTGTTCTCAGTCTTTCCCTTTGACAGCGTGCTGGTTGTGGGGCATTCGGTGGGCACATTGTGGTCTAGCCCTGGTAGCTCTCTCTATAGGGAATACTTCTTTTGGAAATAAAATAGTCAGCGTCTCAATTACCCGACCTTCATTAACCGAGCCTCTCCCCCAGGACCCCTGGGCCACCACCCCACGATCCCTGCCCACCAGGGCCCCCTGGACTCAGCCCAGTGCTAAAGGGTCAGGGCAGTGCGGGAGCGTGACTGCCTGGGGGCACCTCACTGCCGTGGCAGGGCCGTTCTCCTTGAACCCCACTCACCCGCTGGGTGTTTCTTCTCCTCCAGCAGAAGTCTTCTTGGCCACTCTTCTCACTTACTCCAGATCTTTCTGCTCCTTCTGCTTGGTCCATTAGCTGGAGGTAGTGTGAAGTGAAATTTCTATTCAGTTATTCCCATAGCAACTGACCCCGCTAGCATCTGGTTTTGGTATTACTCATGCTTCATATGAGTTTCTTACTTTAGGGGAACAGGTCCAAACTGAAACTAGACTAAATCTTCAAAAATAGATTTAGCAGAGTTCAACTCTTTTAACAAATACATATAGGCAGTCACAAAAAGCCTAGCAGGGCCTACGCCAGGTATTAACTGCGATTGTCTTTCTGCAGAGATTAAAAACCAGACCGGCTGTCTCTGAGTCAGTTTTGACTCAGGGCGCCCCTGTGTGTTCCGGAGTAGAATTGCAGAATTGCACTGCATGCTATTTCCAATGGCTGTGATCTTTCAGAAGTTGGTCACCAAGCCTTTCTTCCGAGGCACCTCTGGGTAGATTCAAACCACTGACCTTTGGATTAGGAGCCGAGTGCTTAGCTGTTGTGCCACCCAGGGTTGCTCTCCCAAGATGATGAGTGGCTATATGATCCTTTTTACACTCTTGTTTGTTATTCTACTACTCTTTGTTATTCTATTACTCTTTGTTATTCTATTACTCTTTGTT